AATAAATGATGGTAACAGGACTGATTCCAAATCATCTGTTCTTTTCCCTCTTCTGAACGGCGTTCTAGAATATATTATCTATCACAGTACATTTCAAAAACAAACACATGCATCATTTTCTTAAAGGCAGGAAAGAATTAAAAATAAACCAAGGGGCAGCGCCTGTGGCTCAAAGGAGTAGGGCGCTGGCCCCATATGCCGGAGGTGGCGGGTTCAAACCCAGCCCCAGCCAAAAACTGCAAAAAATAAAATAAAATAAAATAAAAAAACCAAGAAAAAGTGGAACAAACTGAAATATAAGTTATGATTGCTTTAGATATCTCAAATGTTATAATATCTCTAAATGAACTAAATACTGCCTCTCCTAACCCCATATTTTTTTTCTTATTGTTTGTTTCTGGATATCACGAGGGTACACGTTTTGGCTATATGAATTGCTTTTGTACAGTTTGAGAGGGGCACACTGTACCTGTTAGGTGTAAATTTCTCTCTTCCTTCCTCCCCTTCCCACCTGCTTGCTTTCCATTGAGGTTCACAACCAAATGTGCACAGAGGTGTTGATGAATTAGCTCCAGTTTAATAGTGAGTGCATGTGGTGTATTTTTATTCCATTCTTGCAAATCTTCACTTAGAAGAATGGTCTCCAGATCCATTCAGGTTGCTGCAAAACTTATAGTTCACCATTGCTTTATGACTGAGTAGTATTCCATGGTGTGCACAGACCACATTTTATTAATCCACTCATGTATTGACCAGCACTTATGTTAGTTCCCTATCTTTGCAATTGTGAAATGTGCCACAATAAACATTCCAGTGCACGTGTCTTTTTGATAAAATGTCTTTTTTTCCTTTGAGCAAATACCCAATAGTGGGATTTCTGGATAAAATGGCAGGTCTTCTTTGGCTCTTTGAGGTACTGCCATATGACTTTTCACAGAGGTTGTACTAGTCTGCAGTTCCACCAACAATATAAAAGACTTCCTTTCTTTCCATATCCATGCCAGCATCTGTTGCTCAGGGATTTTTGATAAAAGCCATTCTCACTGGAGTTAGGTGATACCTCATTATTTTTGATTTGCATTTCCCTGAAGATTAAAGATGATTAAAGACATTGAGCATTTTTTCATATGGTTATCGGCCATTAGTCTATCTTCTTTTGAAAACTACTGTTCATGTCTTTTGCCCACATTTTTATGGATTTGTTTGATTTTTTTCTTGCTGATTTTCTTGAGTTCTTTATAGATTCTGGTTCTCAGTCCTTTATCAGATACATAGCAAGCAAATATTTTCTCCCATTCTTTTTTTTTTTTTAAGACAGAGTCTCACTATGTCACCCTCGGCACAGTGCTGTGGCATCATAGCTCACAACAACCTCAAACTCTTGGGCTTAAGCGATTCTCTTGCCTCAGCCTGCTGAGTAGCTGGGACAACAAGCACCCACCACAGCACTTGGCTATTTTTTGTTGTTGTTGCAGTTGTCATTGTTGTTCAGCAGGCCCGGGCCTGGTTCAAACCCACCAGCCTCAGTTTATGTGGCCAGCACCCTAATTACTGAGCTACAGGTGCCAAGCCTATTTTCTCTCATTCTATAGGTTGTCTGTTCACTCTGTTGATTGTTTCCTTGGCTATGCAGAAGCTTTTTAATTTAACCATGTCCCAATTGTTAATTTTTGTTGTTTCTGTGATTGCCTGTGGGGTGTTCTTCATAAATTCTTTGCCTAGACCAATGTCTGTGACAGTCTTTCCATCATTTTCTTCTAGAATTCTTATAGTTTCAAGCCTAAGTTTAAGTCTATTATCCATTGTGAATTAATTTTTATGAGTGGTGAGAAGTGAGGATCCTGGTTCAATCTTCTACATGTGGCTACCCAATTTTCCCAGCACCATTTGTTAAATGGGGATGCTTTTCCCCCAGTTAATGTTTTTTGTCTGCTACATCAAATGTCAGATGGCAGTAGGGTTTGTATCTGGGTTTTCAGTCCTGATCCATTGGTCTATGTCTCTGTTCTCATGCCACTACAGTGATGTTGTGGTTATTATATTATATGATAGCTTGATGTCTGATAAAGTGATGCCTCCCAATTTGTCCTTTTTGCTTAAGATCACTCTGTCTATTTAGACTCTTTTCTGATTCTATAGGAAGCATGAAATTATTTTTATTCAGATCTGTTAAAAAGTATGTTGGTATTTTAATGGGATGGCATTGAATCTGTAGATCACTTTGAGGAGTATAAACACTTCAGTGATATTAATTCTGCCAATCATGAACAGGATAGGTTTTTCCATTTGTTTACATACTCTGTGATTTCCTTCCTCAGTGACTCTTGGTAGGTAAAAGACCTCTACAGGGGTCATTAAACATACAGGGTATCCAAATTTCACCACACATAGGCAAAATAGGAAATTGTAGCTAAATGTAACTTTATTTACAAAATAATCATTACAAAATTTTACAAAATATTTACAAAATATTCTCTACATGTTGCCCACCTCTTTATAAAATTTTATAACAAATATTTTACAAATAAAAGTACATTTAGCTACAGTTTCCCATTTTCTCTATGTATGGTGACACTGGGGACACCTGGTATTTCTGGTATCTATTCTCCCACTGAAAAGTAAAAAATTTAACACATTTTCACATCCTATGGACTCCCTATCCTCAGGCTCAAAAGTTTGACACCATATAGTTTTTTTAAAAAATGCAGTGTTATCATGGAAATATTTTATGAATCTCTTTGGTGTAACTATTTGTTAATTCACAATGAACTTTACCAAAGTATTTGCAAAGGAAAAAGCAAACACTTGCAATGTACACATTACAGACATATATTTACAAAGGCATTTTACACATTTGCATCCTACACACAAACCCCATGCATACATATACCCCACATGCACACAAAAATGTCTACACTAAATGCCACACTTATCAATATCTTTTCACATAAACACTAGTCTTAACATTTTTTTCACATACAAACCTATGTAACGCAACCCACAATGCATCCACAAACACCCCATGCACACCCTAATCCTCATAAATATCCATACACCTCCATCCATTTGTATACATAACAAACACCCACATCACACAAACTCACCTGCATCCATAATCACACACAAAGAAGAAATAAAATGCATCTGTCCCTCATCCCATCCATCAAAACTAGTTCTTCAAGGCATGAGTAAGGGATCCTCAGGTTACTAAGCAAGAGTGTCTAACTAACCCTAGAACATCCTCTGAATCTACAAAAATTCCAGATCGCCTTCAGTATTTTCCATTACTGTGTATAACAGCCTAATTATTTGAACATAATTAATGCATGTATAAATATTTATGAATACTTCCTACTAGCCAGATATTTGATTAAAGTAGTATATTATTCGTTCATTCATTCACTGTGCAATTACTGAGCACCAATTAAATTTGAGACACCATGATAGACATGGTCGTAAAATAAAAGAATAAACAGACAACAAATCAAACACACTGTGATTCCTGCTCTTTAAACATAAACACAAATAACTATATTACAAGGTAGCACGGCCCATGGCTAGACACGACCTGGTGAGTCAGTGGAGAGAGGGCAAGGAGACAAGTTGGCTCTGAGTTTTCTAATCCCAGAGAGTGGGACTATGTTGGTGTCACCTGGGAAACTACAATCTGGAGGAGAAAGCTGGGAAGAAAGCTGTGACATTCAGGTTAGGAGATGGACTTGAGGCACAGGCAGGACATTGAGATGGACATACCCTGCAGGTGTTTGCAGATGAGAAGAGGGGCTTTAAGAGAAAGGCTAGGGTGGAGATGCAGATTTGAGAGTCATTCATTATGTTAAAAAGTTACAGCTAATGAGAACAGACTATCCCAGAGGAAGAACGAGAAAAGCTGAAGACAGTCCTTGGGAAAACCATGTCCTGTTTGGCCATATAACAGGTTTTCATCTCTCTCACACACACACCCCCAGCTCTATCCATGCATTTCCTCCACATACCAGCCCCACAAGTCCACGACAGCTTTACACATAGCTCCTTGCTACCTTCTACATGTAATTTCATGACTTAGACATCTCAGTTGCCCAAAGCAACCCAAATGAGTGTTCTGCAGCCCCTCAGTCTCCAATCTTGACTCATACTGAGATCTGTACAACTTGGAGAGTTCGCAGGCAGGAGAGTCATTGTTTTCAGACACTGATAATTCTTTCTGTGTTGAGAACGAGGACCTAACATTACTTTGTTGAGTGGGAGTGGGTATAGAGGTAACAGAAACGGTGTGACACATCCTCAGTAATCTGCTTTCAAATCCCACAGCTCTTGACACCATGAGGCAGGCTACTATTGATCTACTCTGGGACCTGAGTCAGTCCTTTCCCCTAGCTGGGCCTCAAGTTTCCCAACTGTTTCCTAAAGTGTATGTTTCATAAGATAGTAGTCCCATGAGTACTACTGGTAGAGTAAAGATGGCTAAATAAATTTGTGTTCTAGACTTGGGCAACATTTTTTTAATTACTGACTCTGATCCTGAAGAGAAACCTTGAGAAAAACTAGATTAATTGTTTTTCAAAGTCCTTTCTGGCTATACTATTCTATGGATCTCTCAGGGTGCAGGGACCCAAAACGTAGGGCTAGAGATCCCTGAAGAGCTCCCGGGGAGACCCAGCAGCCAAATGTGATACTTCAAATTCCCAGAGTTGAAACCTTAAAAGAGTCAGTAGCTTTTCAGCATCACTCAGACCCTCGGCTGGCCGCCAGGATCCCTCAGGACTGATATTTCGGCTGGGTAAACAATTTAGTCTGGGCCTTACCTCAAGGTATTAAAGCCCCATATTACCTGCTTCACAGGCTGAGAATGCTCTAGTGGTTCTACAAGGGGTGGACAAGGCTGGGATCTGGACAAGCCTGAGAAAGGGCTGTGAATAATAACCCTTTGCTATCTTTTCTCCCTTCTTAGCCTTGCTGCTTCTAAGGAGGCTGAAGCTGCCCGCTCTGCACCCAAGCCGATGTCACCCTCGGATTTCCTGGATAAGCTAATGGGGAGAACCTCTGGATACGATGCCAGGATCAGGCCCAATTTTAAAGGTAAAAGAAACCTTATTTCCATATCCACAGGGAAAGTGCTTTCCCAGATTAGAAAGGCAAGCAACACGTTATTGTATGCAGATGGTCAATGCCTGGTATAAATCCCTTGACTTTCCTCTACTCACAGCAGACTTGTTAATCAATTAGTCTTCTCTCCTATCAAGTCCAAACAAAGCTTCAGAGGATCCAACTTAATAGTAACTCTTGCTGCCAGGAGTCAGTAAGTGAATTAAAACCTATTTTCTACCTCTGGTGTAATGGGCAAAAGGATGAACGTGGAATGTGTAGAAATGGGTTCAGGTTTGGGCTGAGGCACAACCATACTCTCTGAGTTTGAATAAGCCTCTCTCTTCCTCTGGGCCTAAGTTTCCTCATCTCTGCAGTGGTGGGCTTTGCTACATTTGCAGTTTTGAAACATAAGCTTCTCACTTTGCCCCCTGCTTTCAAGTCCTCTTCTCAGAGTGCTCACTCACTCCACATGGCCCTGCAGATAGAGGATGGACCAGAGAAACGCTGAGGTCTGTGCTTGGACCCACTTTTAACCCCTATTTTCCTCAGGGCTCCTTCATTCCCCTTTGTACCTTGCTCTGGAAGCCATATCTCCCAGCATCATTAGCATAACCTTGGTTCCCCCAAGGACAGGTAAGTCAGGACCAAAGTCACTGTCAGAGCACACTAGCACTCAGCCCACACCCTTCACCAGCATCACGATCTCAAATGCCCAGAGGGGCCAGGCAGTTGTGGTACATGGAAGAAGCGGGATGGGATAAAAAATAAAACCACTAGACACAGGGCTTGTCCGGGCGCAGCCACTTCTCAGTTCCTGCCGATGATCACCAGGGTGTAGGGGTGTAGACCCTAGACAGACAGACAGACCTTCCAAGACAAAAATTAAATCTGAGATTTCATGCGAAATCTTCCAAAGCAACACCTGAATTGCATCTTTTAAAGACATTGTTGGCCAAATCAAACACGTCTAAGAACTTCTTATGACCCTGCTGCCAGGTAGCTTCCTTTGCCCCACCAGATTTGAGGAATTCCGGTCCACCACGCCCCCTGGTGGGATCTCTTAGAACTCCATCCTAAAGAGCAGTGCGGTGGCCAACCTCTCCTGAGAAAGGGTCAGGAATGTGGTGCATCCAGGTGTGTTAGTTACCCTTTGAGCATACCACTGCACTTGGCACATAGAAAGTTCTCAATCTTTCATAAATGAATAAGTGAATGAATGGACCAGCAAATATGCTAGGATTTAGAGCAGTTTCCCAAATCATGCTATTAAGACCAATGACTTTAACCCAGCTACTCTAACTCAATTATTTGCCTAATGCTAGTGATTTATTTGTTCATTTAGTTATTTACTACTTAGCAGTAGACATTTTTAAGAAATAAAATCTCACCTTGACCACTGAATCAGGGGCCCTTCTGCTTTTTACTCTGAGAAACTTACTTGAATCTACAGAACTAGATAATCTCTTGGGCCTCTCCCAAGTCTGCACTGATTTAACCCCTTCAACTCCCTCCTGACTCTGAGTGAGGTTCAGGATCTGGGAGGGTGGTGTGGATGAAACGTTACTCAGTAGGGATCCGTGGCCCCGCAGCCGCAGATGCCTTTTTCACTTCCATCCAGGCACAAATAAGATCCCCAAAGCACATGCAAACCACAGAGCTCCTAAAACGGCCATGCAGATTAAGTCTTGCTCCCACCCAAGCCTGCATCATTTGAAAACTCCCACTCAGCAGCCCCCTTAAGCATGCGAGACATCTCCTGTTCCTGACCCTCCTGAAGACGGGTAGCAGGCACTCTGTGGCACTCTCTGCAGGGTACAGTGGCCCAATGGGGAAGCAAACAGCACCAAAACTGAGCTCCAGTCCTCCCTCCACTTACCCAATATGTGTGATAAATCACTTACTGTGTCTGGGCCTTTGTTTCGTGTCTGTAAAATGATCCAGTAAGACTATCAGCTCTGATCTTCTGTGTCTTTCTTAAAACTATGTGTATTATAATGGCTCCCAGGATCTGGGGCACAGCCCAATTCAAACACATACACAAAACCCAAATTAAACTTTAATATTTAATGAAATATATACATTATCCTGCTGCCAAAGGCAGCCAGATTGTAATTTTCTTGAGGATAATTTACTTTCAGATTTGTTTCAGTGAACCGCACCTCCCCATAGGGTCCTTTCAGCTGGCATCTTCTCACACCCATAAATCAGAGCCTAATTTATATGATAGTCACAGCACCAGACATTTTGCAAGGCCTGTGTGGAAACCCTGTGCACGTCATTTCAAGGCACAGGCAGTAACTCCTTGGGGCATCTTATGGTATAAGGCTAAATGAAAAGAAAAGCCTGGGTCTGAGTTTAAATGAGGGAGAAAAAAACAGAATGGGCCTTTGTTTAGGTGGAAATGACAGGGAGACAAATTTCCGCTCAGCAGACAGAAAAAAATTTTTTAACAGACAGAGCTACCCAACTATGAAAAGGGCTGCTCAGGATGAAATGAGTTTCCCACTGCTAGAGGTGCTCAGGCTCTCAGCCCTGAATGGGCAGCTGGTCTGTAGCAGTGGTCTGCAAACCCAGTTGTGCATGAGAATCACTAGAATAGTGCATTACACAACAGGCTTTGGGCTCACCCCCGCCCCCAGAGATTTGGGTTCACTGAATGTGGGGTTAGGTCGAGGAATCTGCAGCTTAACAAGTTCCCCAGGTGATACTGATGATAACCCCATCTGCAGATTAGTTTGAAAAGCAATTGAAGAGGTGATCTTTATGAAATCTTCCAGCCCTGAGATCCTATGACCCTGAAATTCAGGTGGATAGCTTCCATGAAGGAATTCCAGCCACTGAAGCTGAGAATGACTACCTAGTTCAAGAGCTACTCTCCTGTCAGACTGATGAGAAATTAAGACCCAGGAAAGGAAAGTGATATTCCTGAGGTCAAAGAGCCATTGAGTGCTAGAATTACGTCTAAAGAAGTCCTTGTACTGCCGTGGACAAAAAACTTAGATTTCTCACCCCAAGACTGAGTCCCCTCCTGTATACCAAGAGTTCTGAAAAAGAGAAAATCCTAGCTAAGTTTGAGTGAAATGCTTGAGCTACATTTTCAGGAAGGAAAGAAAGAAGGGGCACCAGAGAACACAAGAATATCTACTGTCTTCTTTCTACACTCAGAAAACATTGCTGGTTCAAGTCTTGGCTTTACCACTTGATAGTTAAATGAGCCTAGGTGAATTACTAACACTCTCTGTTAACTAGGGACAATAATTCTGCCCTGCCTACCTCAGTACCTTGTGGAAAAAGAAAGCAGAACTACAAAAGTTCACGGATTGCAAATTACAATCTTCACATGAAGGTTATGGCCTTTTATCAGTATCTTATCCACCTTCAAGGTCATTTCAAGGTCATCACCTATATAAGGTCTTTCCTGTATCATTCTCAAGAACCTCTCTCTCTACCTGGACTCCTACTGCTTTTATTACTCTTAGCCATGGTCTCATACTCCTTTATGCTTATTTTATGCTGGCCCTCTTTCAGTTGCTATAGAATCCCAGTACTTAAGTTCCGGATTCCGCCAGTGATTGTGTGACCTTAAGCATGCCTTTTTCTTCCTCTGAACCTCTCTCCTACAGTATAGCCATTAAGATGACCACCTTTGGAGTCAGACAAATCTGAATTCATACCATTCACAGCTGCGTGGCCATGGGCAAATAACTTCTTTGAGCCTCTGTTTCCTCCTCTATAAAATGGAGATAATAAGTACACCTTCTCATGCAGTTGCTCAGAGGATGAAATGAGATGATGTTAGTACCATTCTCAACACAGCAACAAACCCCATAATGCTTAGTAAATGGTAACTGCTATAATTAACAGTATAAAATGAAGACACTGGGCTCCAACTAGAGAAAAACGGGATAGCAAATCAGTGAATAATCCTCTATTTCCTTCCTATCTTTTGCAGTAAGATTCAAAAAACTTGCCTGAAAAGTATTTAACAGAGATTTGTGAACTTCCCTGGAAGTTCCCTCTGGATTCCTCAGCTGGTAATTCCCATCAATGCCTTTCAGCCAATCCTTCTTGGTTCATAAGTTCAAGGCAAGGAACTTGCTGTTCCTTGTGATTCCCAAGATGGCCTCCAAATGTTGTAGCCATAAATATATCTCAGCCACAAATTAGAAGGCAGCCGATGGGGTTTGGGGAAAAGATTTCAAACATATGGCAGGATGATGAATCATCCTCTGTTAATGAAAGTACATCTCAGCTCAGCCTCTGGTGTTCTATACCTGGTGCTCACTTGGGGGCCAAGAAATCTGGCATAGCGATGCTAAATGGTGGCTAAGAATCTCAGGTACCTCGGAACAGGGTGGAGGGCAAGCAGGGGTGTCTTCCATCAAGGGGGTCCATCCCTGAAGTCAGTGTTCCAGGAAGGGGTCCTATCCTGTGAGTCTCTCCATAGCTACTGAGCTAAGCAGAAATTTCTCTTGACTGGCAGGTCCCCCAGTGAACGTGAGCTGCAACATTTTCATCAACAGCTTTGGTTCCATTGCTGAGACAACCATGGTGAGTAAATCAAAACACAAGCTGTTATCTCCTGCTGGGCAAATCTCTCTCCCTGAAATATTTATCTCTGCATTGGTCTTCCCCATGGAGGAGGGAATTAAGTGTTTTTTCAGCTATCCAGTGGGCTTCAATGTTATTACTGTCCTATTCAATGTTTAGGATAAAAACATAACATCTGAAAATGGCCAAACAGCTAGCAGGGCTAGCACATGCCATCACCCAGGATTACAAAAACAAAATTATACAACAGGCCAAATTTTTAGATTCAAAGAAAATGTGAAGAACTGCTTCTAAGTTTAATATTCAGCTGTACTAGCTGGCCGCAGTGGCATGTTCTTGTGGTCCCAACTATAAGGAAGACTGATGCAGGAGGATCACCTGAGCCCAGGAGTTTGAATCCAACCTGGTCAACATACCAAGACCTCATTTCTTTAAAAAAAGATTTTAAAGGCAGAATGGCAGAAGACTGCTAGATTATAAAAGCTTAATTAATAGTGAGTTGATTATAAAATTTTCTCTACTTTTGAATGTATTGAAAACTTTCTATGATAAAAAAGTTTAAATTAAATCAGTTACACTAGAAAAAACTAGACGAAGAAAACACCACAATGTTAATACTGATTACCTCCTGGATTACAAACTTACAAATGATTTATTTTCAGTATTTCTATATTTTTCTTATTTCTACAAAGAGTGGATATTAGATTAGTAATTACAAATAAATGGAATCATACTTTAAAATTTTTCTCAGCCCTTTTTTTTAACCAAAAAAATCAATTGTGCAGTGAATATTGATACATCCATTTTCTTCCTAAGTGAGAAACAACTGTCAGACCAAGTCAGGAACTGGATCACCTGGTTATGTAAAGGACATGGTTATTTGAGGACAGGTGCACATATCTGCGCTCCTCCCAACACACACACACAAATACACAAAAATACGCACATCGGTTTCCCTATAGTGAAACAGAGATTCCCAACAGAGATCTACTTCCTCAATACAGATTCCTAAAAAACTTAAAAAAAAAAAAAAAAAAAAAGACACAGCATTATTTTTTGTGATAGTTAAAATCCTGGCTCTGGAGTCACACAGACCAAACCCATTTACTATCTATGAAGAGCTTATTTGCTTCACATCTTTAAGCCTCAGTTTCCTCATCTGTACAATCCTAATAGTGATTAACATACTGACCTCACTGAGATATGTGTGGTATATGTAGGAATATTTTTATCATGGCATTTATGATAGCAAAAGCTTTGTAAATGTTCCCTAAACACTTTCAGTGATTGTAATGATGATGGAGACTCCAGGCACTGAAGCCCCAACACTACCATCGATTGGCTGTAGGATCCCGAGCAATCCCTAGACTTCTCTGAGCGTGCTTTCTCCCTCTCCCCCACCTGTGTCCTCTGCCTTTCCAGATATCGCTTCTCCTGCATTTTGTTTTCTGCACAGACAAAGTAGCAGAGTAATTCTGATAAAGTCTTCAATGTCCAAACAAAATTTGAGGGCAAGCTCTATGATCTCGGACAAGGAAACCTAAATTGTCTTCCTATCTGTAAAGCAGGGATACCAATAACATTCACCTTGTGCCCCATTGTGAAGATTAAAAGCTAAAGCTTGGACAGTGCTAAGCACAGCATCTGACACAAAGCACACATGCAGTGAATGTCAGCTACTATTAAATGCCACTTGCAATTTTAAGCACACTTTCCCATTCACTCTCTCATTTAATTCCTTCACTAAACACATGGCTTTACAACCACTCTGTAATGCAGAGATGCCACACGCTATATTCCCGATTGTACAGCTGAGGAAGCCGAAATGTGGACAGATTGCATCACAAAACTAATTAGTGACATGTAGGAATTAAGGCCCAGTTCTCGTAACCCCTAGGTAAGTGTTTGTTCTGTGCCACACTGCCATAACTGCAAAGAGCATAGACTCAAGAAATTAGGGGCCTAGGGACCTATAGAGCACACATAAGCAACAACTGACATGTTATCAAATGCAGAAATCCAGCCCAATATCGTGCCAGGCTCAGCACACCTCAGGAGAAAATAGTGAGTAATGGTAAATGGGGTCACCAACAAGAGGAGCCAGAGGAGATGGGCCCCGGGGTGGAAATAGATAATCTTCAGACAGGAAATGAAAGATCAGCTCTGATGTTGTTCCTCAGGAGTGGTTTACAGATGGCATAGTTTTCTAGCTGGTTATTAAAGTCATTCCAAAGGAGGGCAGGGGCTGCCATTTTGCAGCTTGCCCATTGGATAGCACAGTAAATCTGCCCTTAACATCTTCTGTAGGTTCTTAGAACCTGTGACTTTAAGCAAAGTGACTATAACATAAGCAATATTTTTCTTATCAACATTACAACAAAAAGAATGCCTAAAGAAGTGATGGTATTCAGGAATCTGCTGCTACTTTGTTTCACTTAAACTCTCTGTTGACAAGAACCTACTGACATTAAGTGAGGACTTCCTCTGCTGTGATTTTTCTCATTGACTTCTTAATTATCTGTGTATATAATTTACTTTGCAGATGATTTAGAAAAAGAAAATGTAAAATCTCAGACCTAGAAGAAAACTTAAGGGATTGTCCAGTGTAGCCTTCCCAGTATGGTGACTAGATGGGTAGAGTCAGTTGAGCAAGGTCATATGGCATGAAATGGATACAGTAGAAACCCAAATCCATCTCCCTTTGCAGTAGTCACAGGTTCCTTCCCCTTCCCCTTCTTTTTCCCCCGTCCCATGCACCAAACCCTTTGAACCACTTTCCTATTCAAACCTCCTTTCTTGTCACTCAAATGTCCTTAGGAGCAAAACTGGACTTGGTAATAAGGACAACTTCTTCTTAAAGAACACAATAGATGCTACTATGTGCCAGACAGAGTGCAGAACACTCTCTATGTATCAGAGAACCTCACAATGACCCCTATTAAGGGGGAAAGATTATCCTCAGTGTATGGATGAGGAAACTGAGGATCAGAAAGGCTAGGTTATTTTCCTAAGGACACACAGCTAATAAGTGACAGAGATAAAATTTGAACTCAGCACATGGTCTCCTGAGCCAAATATAAATAACTCCTAATGTTTGGGGTTACCCAGTCCTTGCTTGTCTCCTTTCATCATAGGCAATGAGAGCTATCCGGAACATTATTGAACAGATATAAATAGGGAAGCCAGAGAGAGGATTGCACTTGTCCATGGACACGCACAGATAATTAGTGGCACAGCCAGCCCAGGCTCTCTGACTTCCAGCCTGGGGCTCTCCTTCTCAAACCACACAAAAAGCTGGCTGTGCCCCAGGGGTCCAAGGTAATATGGACATAGTCCTAGTGTCAGAAACCTTCCAGGCTGTGTTTGTTCTCCAGAAACAGCGGGAATGCACTGCAGCTCTATAAACAGCTGGAGTTCCCAGACCTAACTGTCTGCCTCCCAGGGCCTGGCTTTATTCACCGGAGCTAATAGACCTGAAGAGAGAGGCTGCCAGCAAAGCAACAGGGGTCTCTACCCTTCCCCAAGAGGGGAGGGCTGAGATTGCCTGTCTTCCATCTGACCTTTCCAGGGATTCTCTTTGAGTCTGTGCAGCAAGGGGAAGGTAGAAGTTGAAACAGGAATGAACAAAGAAGAAGAGGAAAGAAGTTCCTGTTCTAGAGCAGCCCCTCTGGCAGTCTACAAGAGAGATGTAGGGCTAGAACCCAGAGGAAAGCACCCAGCTTATCCGGGCGTGTGTGCTAATAAGTGAGCATGGTGTGTGCTCCCGAGTGTCTGTGTGTCTGTGTGGTATGTCAGAGCATGTGTCCACTCTGGGGCGGTGCAGATGTGCACAGAGGCATGTGGATACATACATGCTAGTTTCAAAGTAATCTGGACACGTAACCTCAA